GTAAATTTTTGAAATATTTTAACCATAATATTACGCAGGTTTAGATCTGTCTCTTATACACATCTAGATGTGTATAAGAGACAGCATTAGTACGTTTCTTTAACACAATTTAAACACAGTACCCCATATACTTACCAAAGTCTGGGTTCTTTCAAGTTTCTAGGAGTCTGGTATCCTAAAAAACAAGAAAATAGAAACGTTTGTATGTTTCTTTAATACAATTCAAGAAAAAAATTAAAAAAAATTAACGTTAGTAAAATATACTAACGTTAAAATAAAGGGTGGGCGGGCGATCATAAAATTCAATGTTAAATTATCTTTTTAACGTTAAAAAAGTTTTTTTTTTAAAAAAAAAATAACGATAACGGTTTAAAAAACTGTTTTAAATTATCAATGATCAGTTAAAAAACTGATCGGAGCTTAACTGAATTAAGAAATACTGAAACTATATGTATATCATATGATATACTGCGCTGAAACGCTGAAACAATTTCAGCAGTTTCAGCAGTTTCAGCAGTTTTGGCAGTTTCGGCAAGCAACCTTAACTAAATTTAATATATGTATAATTTGTATTATTTTGTTTGAGTAAAAAAGGGTTATTCTCAGGATATTTACTATATTTACTTTGGTTAGAAGAAGACATAATAGACATAATAGAAATAATTTTATTTCAAAAAAAAATTATCACATTAATCACATTAATCGCATCAACCATTTGACCATTCCACTTAATTGTGCAACTTAAATTTTAAGGTGCATCAAAATAAATCAAAAATTCCAAAAATGCACACATATGCTCCATATTTATTATACCTATACCTATGAAAATTAATATACAAGTAGTTTCAATCCTGCTGAACTATTTTCAATTAATTTAAAAAGTTAATTTTATTTGACTAAAGTGGTAAAATTACATGCTAAAGTTAGTAAATAGAAAAAGAAAAATTTAAAAGTTAGTACTATTATAAAAATATTGGTTTCTCTATATGTATTATACTTACACCCATGAAAATTAATATACAAGTAGTTTCGACCTTGCTGAACACAAGTCGAAAAGTGAAAAATCAGGCATCAATCAGTCACCAATCAGGCAGTTTGCTAACTTTTAATTCAGTAATCAGGAAAAAATGAAATATAGCTCATTGGATTCGTCTCAACAAGATGAATCTAATGGTAGTAAAATCGCATTTCTAGGATTAATACTTGATGAGAAATTAAGTAAAATATAAAAATAAAAATGTATCATTTATATTTTATTTAATATTTTATTAACTATTAATCCTAAAATGTGATTTTACTACCATTAGATTCGTCTTGTTGAGGCGATTCCAATGAGCTATATTTGATTACTGGATCAAAAGTTAGCAAACTGCCTAATTGGTGACAGTATTTGGCGAAAATTCCAATCAGTCACCAATTGGTCACCAATCAGCTACCTGATTGGTGACCAAAAAGTCAATTTTATTTGACTAAAATGGTAAAATTACGCTCTGAACAAGTTAATAAATAAATAAAAAATTTGAAAGTTAGTGCCATTATGAAAAATATGGGTTTCTTTATATGTATTATACCTATACTTATAAAAATTAATATATAAGTAGTTTTGGCTCTGTTGAACAACTTTCAATTAATAAAAGAAGTTGATTTCATTTGACTAAAGTGGTGAAATTATACTTTAAAATTATTAAATAAAAAAATATAAAACTTTAGGAGTTAGACAATTAGTAGTATTATAAAAAACACAAATTTCTCTATAAATTTCATTTCTAATTATAAAATTGAGTTGTATAGGTTTAATATTAATAGTATGTTTGAAAAATTAAAAAAATTTATAAAAAAATTTTTATTTATGTGTATAAAATTGTAAAACGTAATACAAACAAAATTAATATAAAACTAAAATTATATTACTGATGAATTTCACCTCACCTCCTGGTGAATTAATTTTAAATTAAGGCAATTTCTAATTGTACACGGGGTGTCTGTACCCGTATCACGTGATTTGCATAAAAATTTCCTTTTTTGAATTTTTGCAATTTATTTAATGCGAATCATGTGTAATTATGGTAAATATCATATGTCACGTGACACACTAATGCGATTTTATTAATTAAACCAATGAGCTAATGAAATAACAAAACGCCTAATTGAGACACGTTTTCACGTAATGCCCATATTGATTACATTTTCCACATTTTCAGCCTTTTGTAATAATTGTTGAGCTCTCTAAGTTACTTTTACTCTGACCTTCTATTACATTAACAGCACTACTATCTTTTAAAACTTTCTTTTCCCTATGTAATACATCTTTTTCAACATTCGCTACGAGCCTTTTCGGCGGTCGTCCTTTATGCTTGATAATTACCAGATTATTAATATCAATCGAGTTTCCCTCCAGCCTACTTTGTATATCATAGATAAAGGCCTTGAAAAGATTTGACAATTCGTCCTGCATTTCAGTTTTTATAGCACAGTCGATGGCCTTCTTCGATAATCCAGATAATTCTGCGTATATAGCTTTAGGTGATCTTACGGATGATTGGGATGATTGGGATGAATAAAGTGATGGTGAACCATATGAATCGATCTAAATGGAAAAAAAATGTTGGAAGGTGATATGATTTTCAAAAGGTATGTTATCTTCCAATTGTATCTTATCACATACTGGGATAAAAGAATATTGTTGCAGGATATTGTTTGGTTCAACATTGGGATTTAAGTACCATCGATTTGGGATCATACTTATATGAAAGGTCGTGAATCTAGAGTAGGTACCAACACGGAAAAAGTGCCGACATACTAACCCTTTATTAAGCAATAAAAGACAGGTACATAGATGCGTACCATCATTAAGCAAAATTACATAATGCCCAATTCCATATGTGCCGGTTGCTCGTACGTTCCATACTTCAAGGATTGCTTCCATTGGTAAATTTGACACCAACAATTGTAAAAGAATTTGCTTTGTGTCCTGCTCTTGTTCCCTAATTCCCATACTTATTTCTTCGTTATCAGCTTCCATCTATAATCAGAAATACGAATTTAATAATCAAATTCAAGATGTACTAGGGGATATGAGCCAAAAAAATTCGCGAACTCATTTTGTAAGTAACTCCAAAATGATTACCTCTATCAAATGATGCCATTCTGTAATTTGATTAATATCATAACATACAGATTGATTCATTTGTGATCTTTGCTTACCAAGCATCACAGTAGTCAAAAACTTTTTAATAATGGCATCAACTTTACCAAAGAATCTTTTGTTCAGCATCGGCATACCGATCGTGGGTAACGCATTTCTTTCAACTTCAATTTAACATGGTCGGTAATACTAATCAATAGATTATATAATGAAGTAGAACGATCTACTTTATCATGAATATGCCTATTTATTGACTCGTGCTTTGTGCACCAGCTGTGAATTTTTTACGGATCCAAGGTACCGCCCACGAATCTTTAGTATTATAAAGAGTGCCAGACAGATATTTGGCTGCTGTAGGATATTGTTCAATTAGTTGATTCTAGCGAAGTTCAAATAATTCTTTGCAAAGGGAATTCCGGCATACATAGAACTTATGATGGAATTCCTCAAACTGACTGCCTAACTTTCCCTTAAGTTTTTTCTGAAGGTTTAGGTCTATGTGAAATATACATATCAGATGATGGGCGTTGGGAAAAATATCCTTGATCGAACGAATCAGAGAGGGATCCGAATCAGAAAAAACAACTCGTGGAGAAACGCCAGTCTCAGTAAGAATGCTATCAAGTATCCACTGGTATGTATCTAGCGTTTCGTCTTCAATTATTGCACATGCAACGATGATTCTAGTTCTGTAATTGTTATCAATTACAGTTACTACATAAAGGATCATCTGGAATCGGTTCGTGTTATAAGTGCTATCCACTATGACAACATCATTATATTGGTTATATAATTCCCTCTATACGGGAGACATCCACAACAGAGAAACTAATCTTCTTGATATTGGATCTAATCGAGTTTTTATAATCCAAAGTGGCTTGGAGTCTTTCCAATCCATTAATAATTGAAGCATTTGCGAAGCATCACCGTCTCCAGATTATTTTTTTTACGAAACTGATAAACCGCGTTATACAAGTCTTTCATGTAAATAGGTTGATTTGGATAATCATGTTTCAATAAGGGATATATAGACATCGAATCCATGCGTCTTTGAACAACGTATTTCTCCACATCGGCCAGCATTTCTTGTGTTAACTTCCAGAAGCGAGGAGCTATTTCTTGGATCATTGAGGTAAGTGGATGGTTATGAACATCATTAAACGAATTGATTTTCACAATGTTACTTGTTTTTGGATAAGTCAGATTAACTCTCCAAGGACATGATGTTCGTTGAGAATGAGTATTGCGTTTCTTTGTTGGATCTGACGTGGCTTGTGAAATATGAGATCCAGACTTCGTACACTCATAGGTAACCCTTCGCAATACACCCTCAATGTATTCACTCATTCTAATTTTGTAATTGAACCCCTTTTTTAATGCGAACCTATGCATCCATGCTTTGAAATCATTCCAATCAGAAAAAGTAAGACCGGTAGTCAAATCTAAAGAATTGGATGGTTCGTCTGATCTATTGGACTCATTATCATCGATCGAATGTTGGTTGGTTTCATGAATCTATTATGTAGATTTTCTTTAATTGAGTACAACACAGCAGAATTGTAGGAAACAAGAACTTAAGGAAATATATACATAAGTTTTCGGAGTATCAGAATCATTATCAGCGGTTGATAGGTTAGTTTCATGAACCTGTTATGCAATTCTCTTTAATTGATAACAACATGGCAAGTAACATACAGTACAACGAAACAGAAAACTTGAGGAAATATATACGTAAGTTTTCAAAGTTCTTAATGAAGTCAAAGCTTCACATCATTCGTTATCACTAACGTTTCTTTGTTCTGTTTCATGCATCTTGATTATATTTAATGGTTCTGTTTGATTCATATCGATTATATTCAAAGGTTTACACTTTACGGTAAAGAAACAAAAATAAGGAAGGGAAATAGAGAATCAGATTATCATGATGTAATGAATAGATCACTATGAAGTAAACAAATCGTATGATACGTGACCGTGTCTGTAATTAATAAATTTTTCTTTCCAAAAAAGGAAAATCATGTGACACGTGTACAGACACCCCGTGTAAATTAACATTTTTTCATATTTTAAATATATTTTAATTGCCGATCCACGAATGAATCGGATCTAGTGATCGGTAAAATCAAATCTCCACTTCCAAAAAAAGTAAAGTCGGTCAATTTTTAGCCAAACCAATTAAATTTTTTTTTTAAAAAAACTTAGAGATTAAATCTATTTTGTAAAAATATAAATTTAAGTATTTCAAAACTCAAAATTTTGCGAATTGCTCTTAAATATCATCAATTAGCGAAATTTTAGTAAAAATTATTTATCATTTTTTTTTCTAATAAAAGTACTAGCAAGAAGTCTCAAAATTCACACATATATACTTTGGACATATATTAATAGAATATTAAAAAAAAAAATGATATAATAAATGTAAAAATATTTCCTACTTTAAGGTTAACTAACAATAATCCATTTTCCCATTTTTAATGCATATATGAAACTTTTATAAATCAATCTTTAGGAATTTAAAAATGGTAATTTTATCTTAAAATATAAGTTCTGAACATATTTAAAGCATTTATTTTCAAATTATTAAGTGAAAAAATTTTTCGGTTTTGTGTCGATGGTTACACAAATTACGAATTGAAGAAATTTAAAGTTTATTGGTGAAAGTTTGACTTTTTTAAGAGCTATTTTTGATACTTTAATAAAATAAAGCAAATGTCAAAGTTTTTTCATTAAAAATTTCAATCTATTCGATTAAAAATTGGTGGATATTCCTATATTGGAAATGCAGATTTAAGGGGTGGTCCGATTGGTACATGGATTACTAATTAAGTATATTTTAAATATAATACTTTTTATAGGAATACAAATAAAACTAAAAAAATGTTGCAAAATATATCAAACCTATTAATATTTGATATTGATGAAGAACAAGAAATCTACAATAATAACAATATGAATATTAGTGATACTTATTTCCCTCAAGTATTTTGTTTTTCTTTATAACTGTGCTTTTTTAATATCACTGTTTTTTTTTGACACCTTTGTTTAACTTTAATTAGTTACACTTTTTTACTTTTTGCACACTTTTTTACTTTTTTTGTCAACTGTTCATTAGTTTTCTATTCAAAGTTTGTACAACTTTAATAATGAATTTTGAGATTCTCATCAGCTTAACGGTGATGTTATTTATTCAAAAAAACTAAGAGATTTGGAGTTAATGATAATTGATAAGGATCAAGAAAACTATGACAATACAAATGTTAATATCAATACTTACTCTTGTTTGCTTTAATTAAATGTTTTAATTTTTTTAACTAATCTTTGTATTTTGTATAAATTTAGAAATGATCATCATCAGCATCGTGGCGTTACTACTCAAGATGATATTGAGTTACCTGATATTGATTTAAAAAAAAACAGAAGAAGAGAAGAATTAGAGTTAAAGGTAAGAGGAAGCTTGTTGGATTTTTTGAAAAATGGGAGGCCGTATGCAAGGTCTTAGATTACCATCAAGTTTTGAGCTCAGAAGGAATTAGGTTGTCATGGTGTCAATACTCTATGCCTAACCTAAAGAAAGTGCCCTCAATTAAAAACATTCCAGTAATGCAAAGTCAAAGAAGAAGGATGATAAGTCCTCATCTAAAGCTCCTAATACAAGTAATAAGTTGAAGAAATCATACAATTCAAACAAGAAGGTGAAGGGTGGTAATAGTTCAAACAAGAAGGTTTTAGCAAAAATTTTAGAATTATTACAAAAATTAGTTTAGTCTTAATAGAATTTAGTTATTTCTACTAATTTGTACTTGCTATTAGCATAGCCGTGTTTAGTACCACAATCTTTTGAAAAGGGGACTTGTCCTCTCCATTTTTATTTTTTTTTACCCAGTGTTGTATTTGCTTAAATATAAGTGGATGTGCTTGTAGATAGGTCTTTTTTAGGACTAGTTCTGCACTTTAGTGTTGACATCTGTTTTTTATATATATTCCCTACCTGCTTCACATAAAATAAAAATTAAATTACCAAGATGAATTTAATTTACCCTAGTGAAATTCACCAGGTGATTTTATATTACACAAATGTGTAGCATATTTTGTTTTTTTGCTTTCTTGTAATATTATTTTCAAAATAGCTGGAACTTCTTAAGGTAAAATTTTTTTATTTGGTTGTTACTTCGCTAGTTTAATGTTCTTTTTCTCTTATGCTAATTTGTTAACTTGTTTTTCAGAAAACAACTTCAAATAACTTCAAGAGGTTTAAGGTAAGACTCACTTTTATTACTAGTATTTTGCTATTTTATTGTTTTCTTTATTGAAAATGATACTAACAGTTTTATTCCCTTTTCATTTTTCACTCCCCTTTTGTTTTTTATTATTTTATTATTCCCTTCACCTCCATTTTATTTTTCTATCATTCCATTTGCTCCCATTTTGTTTTTAATTTAATTATCCTTTTTGTTTATCATCGTCCTTTTTGCTTCCATATCATTTTTCATCACTTCATATTGCTCCATATCATTTTTCATCTTTATATCATTCTATATTATTTTTCATCATTCCATATCATTCCATATCGCTTTTCATCATCCATTTTATTTTTGTCATCTCATTTCATTTACATATCCCCTTCACTCCAATTCATTTTCCATTGTTCTATTTCATTTTACATTAACATTGTCCTTTTAATTTCACTTTCCATTGTTCATCATTCAATTCATTTCTTTTTTGCATATTCATTTCTTTTCCATCATAAAATTATTAGAACTGCGATCTTATGCATTACTATAGGGTTTAAATTAATAAAAAACCTAGATTAAATGGTTAGTAGATGGGTGTAATAGTTTAATTAAGTTATGTTAATATTCTTGTAATTTAGAAAGAAACTTTTTGTTAATAAAACTTTAAAAGTTCATTCTTAAATGGTCAATAGAAAAAACTTTTTTATTCAAACATAAAAATTTGAAGTTATGTATTTATTTATTTATTTATTTATTTTGATATAATGACCAATACTACCCAGTATCCCCAGACTTTTTGTTAGAAAAATTCTTCATCTTTGGTATATATGGTGCTTTCTTCATACTTTCCTGTGGTTAGGATAGGATGTATTTAAGGTTTTGAGTGTAACCTTCCAATTCTCGAAATAGCCCACAAGCTTCCTCTTTTCTTTACTTGTTTGAATTATTTTAAATGCACTAGTACCACACATCATTAAAAATGTAGTTAGTTTACGTTCATTCCACAAGGTAGCCTAATAAAATCATGTAATATAGAATTATGGATCATCAACATTTTATTATTATTTAAATAAAGTGAAATTTTTAAAAGAAATTTTTGTAAATTTTAGTTGCATATTTTTTTTATTTTATTTCTTAAAGAGAAGTTATCAATGACTTTATTGAAATAAATCTAACTAGTATCAAAGACAAAATCAATCCTAAACATTTGTACAAAACCTCACCTTTCAATAAAGAATGGAGTCACACCTAGGTGAAACTATGCCACAAAGGTTTGCCATACGCACTAGGTAAAAAAAAGGAGTTAACTAGAATAAATCCCCTCTAAAGTGCAAAAGCTTATAGAGTAGAAATAAACTATTAAAATAATACAAATTAGGAAATCTAACTAAAGACTAAACTAATTTTCATAATAAAGATAAAATTTCTGTTAAAACCTCCTTGTTAACTTTATTACCTTCACCTTTTTCTTTGAGGAATTCTTTGCCTTCTTATGATCTTCATGATCTTCAACTGGTTATCATTTTGCTAAGCTGTCTTTGAAGATTGTTTTTTGTCTTTCTTCTTAGGCTGATTACTATTTGATACTTGTTCAGATTTCTTCTTGTTTGGGGTATTTTTAGCCTTCAGTTTGAATTGTACTTTCTTCAAGTTAGAAATGAAGTGTCAACACCATTTCAACTCCTTACCTGGCATATCTAAGTGGTCTTCCAATTCTTTTAAATGCACTAACACTGCACTTCGTTAAGAATTTAGTTGGTTTATGATCTATCCTAATGGCTTGGAACTTTTTACGTTGTTTTCTTGTAAAGCAGTATACCTTCCAGGTCTGTCATCCAAATTTATTAAACTGGGGAAGGGCAAATAAGGATAGTACTATCTTTACTCTAACAGTGATACTTGTGCTGATGTTTAACTGAATACTTGATAATATTTCCTATAGTTTTAACTCTGCAAGAATTTTTGGCAGGTTCCAGATATTCAGGATATTGTAGATTGCTCCTCTCTGACTACTTTGTATCCTGTCAGTATTTGAATAACCTCTGGTTCAGATGATTTCTTGTCATTTCGTGGCTTTTTGGCTGATGTTTGTGCATCAGGTTTTGCTGTTGTTGATTGGTCCTTGACTTGTTTACACATGCTTTTGATTTTTGTTTATCCTTCTGGGAATTTACTAAGGTCATATACGACCTCTCCCATATCGCCAAATGTTTTGGTAGAAGTGTACCATAAAATTATCCCATGACCTGGACGAAACATATAATGCTATAGAATATATTAGCGAAAGGGTGGTTGGTTATATATTGTCAGTTGAGCTTGTGAGGTAAAGTTCACAGGGTTGGCGGCATCGTCAAATATCTCTATCAGTAACTGGGCTTTATCCACAGTTTTTGACAGGTTTTTTTTCAAATAAGTTCTTGAGAAAACCATTCTCTATAAAAGAACCTAATGGTATCATCATGTCAATAGGTACCTAAAGTGTGGGAAGAATTTAAAGGAGTACAGTCTTCATAATTATGAGATAGAAGATAATGAAACAACCTATGAATACGTTTAGCAGCAATTTGAGGTTGTTGCAAAAAAAATAGGATAATATTTATTTAAATTCATATTGAAATCATCATTGTGAAGTGGTAAGTGATATAAGGGAAATTAATTGATCAATAACTTTATTTTGAAGATAAGATTATTGGAGGGGGATTTACACCACTTCAGTCAAATAAAATCGACTTTCTAAATTAATTGAAAAATACAAAGTTTAACATTGCCTTTGAAATATAAATCCACCGATAAAATACGTGAAAAATGGGATTCATAAAATTGGACATGAGTAGCTAAGGAGTTATGAAGTTTTGTTGGATCTAAGTCAGAATGGAAGGAAGTATAATTGCTAACTCACTTAGATAGGAATTTCAATTGTTTGAGATAAGTAGGTGTCAACTATACCACCAAAGGATATGTGTTTTTGAGAAAAAAAAAAGGAAATTTGGTCAAGTTTAGATTAGAAGATTTAAGACCACTAACATTAAAAGAAGAAATGTTAAAAGAGTTAGGGATAGAGGAATCTTGAAATGAATTAGAAAATAACGTATCAGATAAAGGGTCATTAATAATATTTTCTATATCAAAGGAATTAGGAGGTTGCGCACAAAAGAATCATAATCTAAATTATTGTTCATCATTATTGCACCAAAAGGGGACAATAAGATGAAGCCTTATCGGCTTTATCTGAGAAAATCTACCAGTAATGGAGGAAATGAATTTGCCAATAGATTCTGATAAAAGGTCTGAAATGCAGAGACTTCAGCATGTTCTTTGTTTATAAGTTCTTCATCAGTATTGGATGCAGGGATGGAAAGCGAAGGGTTTTTGGAGGTGGGGTAAAAATAAATAGTGTTAGCAGGAGTGGACCGGAGAGAGAAATGGATGAAGCGGGCTGGTTGGATTGTATTGTATTGGGGGGAATTTGCTGGTGGTCATCAATTATCATGTGTGAAGAAACATAAAATCTTTTTAATTTGTGGACAATTAGGGTCAACCAAAGGAGAGTTCCAACCAATTAAGTTGGAGGAGGAAGTTTTATTATTGTGTGGATTAGAGAATGAAACAGAGCAATCTTTATTTCTGCGTTCATTAGACCTGGGCCTTTGGGTAGATTTGTTATTGTTGTTGTTGATGGAGTTATTGTTCACATGTTGACGAGAATTAGAGTGATCTCTGGATTGGGAATGAGAATGTTGCTTGTTACGATTGGCAAAAGATGTTTGTGAAGGTTAACCAATGTTAAAGCATTCTTTAAGATTAGCAACAGGATTGTGAGTATGTAAACGTCCTCTAGAGTTATTTATAGGGCAGGCAGTAGAAGCACAACTGAGCTTACCACATCTGTGGCATAATTTGTTAGTGTTTTGCAGCAATTTCCAAGTAAGTCTACGGCCTTGTAAAGTAATAGATTACTCCATAGCAGTATTCATCATTTGAAAGTGACGTATGCCCATCTTTTGGGTTTGTATGAGTTAAGAGATAGGAGGACATTAACAGCCATAGCACCTACTTCATGGACTAGAGGAGCCAAATGCACATCTTTGGTATTATGAGGGAAGCAAGTGGAGTAATAATATATTGCCCATTGGCTATCAAAATGTGTGATAGATGATGTGAAGACGACAAGATTCAATATTGCTGAATTTCTTGAAGAGCACAGTGATATCATCTTTCTTAATAAAAAAGGGAATGTCAGTGACTTGGATGGCTCAGAGATCTTTATTGGATCAGAGTTGTTTAGGATCGTATAAATGAAATTGCAGATCAGCAAGATCAGTATGTCATAGTGATAGGCATTCATTACACTCTTTAGATGAATTAAAATGGATGACAAGTCTTTTGTGATCTCCAGAACCAGAGTGGAATATTTTTTTATAAATTCAGGAGAAGCAGCAGCTTGATAATCATACCTAAGAATAGAAATAGTAGGCGTGTCAAGGGTGCAGAGTTAGTTTCATTGGTTTCCATATCTTCTTATTAGGAGACGC